ATAAAATAGATTTTTTTTGTGTGCGTGTTTTTGGTTTTTGCAGACATAGAATGTTCTAGATTGTTGACACTTCAGATTACATTTCATATCTTAGATAAAAGTTATTTTCTTCAATAACACTTAAAACTGTAATATATGCATTTTTTTTTTATACAAACATCTAAGCATTCTAGTATAAAGCTTATTCAATATACTTTTTAGCTGAATCTCTTAAATAATTTAATGATAACTGCAAGAAAAACATGTAGTTTAAGGGTGTTGCTGAAAAGATCTCAGGCTGATGAAAAAGCTCAGCCATGAAGTGTACACCACACATAGTATTCCACATATTGACTCTGCAATTCAATACACTTGGCACACTGATTCTCAAGTTTCTCTAACACTTCTAAAAGAACAAATCTAATATATGATCAGTTGTAATACTGCTTGAAAACTTTCTTTCCTTCAAAATTTCTTTATAGTTTGAAAATGGGAAATGATGAGTAAGATGGAAACTCAATGCATTTCAAAACATCATTTAGTCTTGCAAGTCCTATTGTCTCTTTGGACAAATCTAAGTAGAGAATAGCCTAGCGGATTAAAGCATTGGTTTGTGAATTTGGTGGAGGAACTGTAATTGCATATTTAATCTCCTGGCAGGGTAGTGTGTAGAAACAGGGTTGACAATAAATGAGCAGTACTAAAATAAGAACTAGAAGAGAAATCCCTGGACATGGACAACAGAATATTCCCTGAAGTTTACCTGGATTGACAACTGACAGATGAAACCTGGAGGGTTACAATGGCCGAAATGTTATGATAACAACAACAAAGATAGAGGACTATCTTTGCATGTAAATAATGCATAAAGTTAGTAAAATTATTAAAGCATTCAGGATTATCAAAGTAATCAAGTAGAAAAGACTTTGCATTTCTTTACGAGTCATTCAGTTTTGTAACTTCATAATGTAATGCTATTACGTAATGAATTCAAATTGTTATTTTTATATCCTTTTTAAAAAGCTAATAATACTATCCAATCTTTTATTGTTCTAGATAATTATCAAATGCATATTACATAAATAATTTTATTATTAATACTATTTAAAATATTAGTTTTTCATCATTTCATTAAATAACCTAGAAACAAATAAGCAATTTCTAAAGAAATTGAAATCATTTGAAATCAACATTTCTGAATATCATTCTTCCTAATTTTGACAAATTGTTTTTTTCCATTGTAAAACATCATAAAAGAAGAAAATGGGAACTTTTATTAAACAGATTTTGGCATGAGTCGAAGAGAATTTTCATTTTTTTTTTTTCATAAATCTCATAAAATTTTATTAAGAAGTTTCAATAAGTTTTATACGAAAATGAAAAATAATTTTAGGAAAATCACATTGGGTTATCTATTAAATGTGATTTATAGAGATTATTTTCTTGTCAGAAACTGTAGCTGGTGTTTGACCTAAATATTATTCCTTATCAGAAAGATTTAAATAAAAACATGAGTGAATTTGAAAGTTTTTTTCCAGTTAACCAGAATATTAAGAATATTTACCAAATAAAGAGATGAGAAAAGAAAATCAAAATTAAGGAAAAGTGCTGAAAAGATATTTACTTTTTTTCAAGTCTTTTGTTCTCTTATTTGACAAGTTTAAGATCTTTCCCTGCTATGAAAAGAGTTTAAAATGTGTAAATTACCAGAGCATTTCAATGTGCCCTGGTATGTGAATGCTGCACAAGTGATGGGGACACGTCACCTGACATGACATTTAGTAGGTACATGTCACTCTATGCACAAACCTAACAATATATTAACAATGGGTCCCTTAATTCAATATATGAAGCATCCTGCAACTCAAACTGCTTGCACTGCTTACCTGAACTACTATCTGTTTTTTTTTGGGGGGGGGTTACACATCACAAGAGACAAAATTATTGCAGTGTACTGCTCTTTTTCCTAAATTTAAGAAACAATTTTTTATGTTTTGAAAGCATTAATACACTAAACAGAATAACAAATGATATAATAGTGAAGCAAAAATTTTACATATTTAAACAAATTATTTAAATATAACTTATGGAAATTACTCAAGACTTTGAATAATAAAATTTGTTGCTGAAGCTTGCATCAGCCATTTCCTATTATCTCATTAGAGTGACCTACTTCCCTAAATAAAACAGATAACAAAAGAATAAATGTAACCAGTTTTTGAGAGGGGTGATAAGATTTATGGTATGGAGAGACTACTTTTAATATATGATAAGAGGAAATATAATTTTGAAGTCTTTATCAATTTATATTATTTGTGGCATAAACTGGAAATCAACCAAAGACATAAGAAAAAATAATGCTAACTGAATTTTATTTTTCCCATTGAATATTATGATTTCATATATATTTGTATTTTTCAGATTTGGTACTCTTTGCAATAAAAACAAAACTATTATTGTGTATTTTCATGGTACTGAAACATATAGCTAAACCAGTCATTCTAGACAATAAATTACTTTACATACAGAATGTTGAACAGAAGCCAAAGCAGGACTAACGCTAATGGTAGATCAAGAACAACAATAGCTTCATTTACTATTTTTTATATTTATCATTTTCATAAAAGAATTTTGTCATTTGGTCCTGTACATGATTCTTCTTTTGCATTTTCAAATTGGAAAATATTAATTATGGAACATTGCTCATTGAAACAGTTTCTTGAAAATATTATCCAAATCTAAAGTTTTGAAAAAAGAATGATACAGAGTGCTCATATAAAATAAAAACCAATATTTGGTCTGAGCTTCTCACACAAATTTGTTTGGCTCATTTAGAGAAGCAATAGTGAGTGAACATTTTTCTCCAAGAACATTAACATTATTTACAACTCATAAGTAAGTTACTATTCTTTCCAATACTTTGAACTTATTCATGTATTGATATTGGATTGGGGAACTAAAATACACAATACAAGTAAACTAGACTTGACTATGTACAAAGAATATACTTGGTAAATGAATTTGAAATGGATAGTCATTTTAAAACAGCTAAAAATAAATCTGGAACTGAGGTTTTTATGTATAATATTTCAATTTTCGTTATTGTCAACGTTGAACAGATAAAAAGAGTTTGATTTGCTCATTATTATTATTACAATTAATTATTTTATCAATTTCATTGCAACTCCAAATGCCTCTAGTCGCCCCCCCCACAAATCAACCCTCAAACAATGCAACAACGTCTCCTCACTTTTTTTCTTTAGCTTGCCAATGTAGTGTAAGTTCATTATAAGATCAAAGGATTGGTTCATGAAGAGAAAACGAAAAAACATTTCAAGAAGATTGATTTTTTTTTTCTTCCCTCATTCGGTTGATAATGGGCGAAACAATTTTTTGTTGGAATGATAAAAAAAAAAAGTAGCTCCTCTCAAAATTACATGATGTGTCTTGATTCAAACAGAAAAATAAATATTTTCATTTTTCATAAAGGAGAAATTAAAAAAATCATGTTCAAAAAAATTCTTTGAAACTAGGAAAATACAAGCAATGGGAATACTTTAAAAATGATATTTTTTAAAATAAAAAATATAATTGTTGACGGATACTGCAATTGACGTGAGTTTTTCGAGGTATACAGCAGAGATGCCAAGATTGGCTGTTTTGACCCCAAATTTCTGAAATCTGTGGGGTTTTTTTCATGTTGTTTAGCGCCAGAGAATTGATTTGGCGTCTTTGGCTTTTTCTTACCTTTTTCTTTTTTTAAACATGAAACAGTACAGCTGCTATGCTGCAATCTTTTTTGACCTCAGTAATGCGCCTGAATTATGGGAGATTTCAGCCCTTTTTATCATAATTATAATATCCTTATTCCAGAAGGGGAAGGGCTCCCAGAAATTTATTATTAAAAAAAAATAAAGAAAGAAAGAATAATGATTTTTTTTCAAACCTATGTCAATTTCAGCAGCCAATCAAAAGGAAGAAATTTGTCTTCCATAACTCTTTATCATAAATTAAATAAACTAATGACCGTTTTTTCCTTGTCTTTCACTCTTCTTCTCCGATGTTTCTTTCATAAGTTAAAAGTTCTTTAAATGAAAAATGTCTTACGGATACACATAAAAATTTAAAAGAAAATATAAAACGGCTATTATTCTATCATTAGATTTTTAATAAGTAAAAAAATCTTTTGAATTAAAAAATTTAAATTTATCTAAAAACGTTTTTAATCATAAAGTAAAATTCTAAAAATAAAAAAACACTAAAAAAGATTTTCCAGCAAATCTGACTTACTTCCGAATGTACAGCAAAAAAAAAAAAAAATCACTGTTTAAATTAAAATTGAAAGAAATAAATAATAAAGTGGTTTCATTAAATGCTTAAAATCCCAATATTAATAAATCTCATGTTTATTTGGCTTTTTATACGTATTATTTGGCTTTTTAAATATAACTTAAGTTTTTTTTTAACCAGTTGTACAATACATTCATATTCATCGAAGAATAAATATCGTCAAACTCACAAAGTCAACAAATGAAAATGAAATGTAAATGTAAAAATCACTAGATTTCTTCAGGAAAATTATAAAATAGTGAGACGTATGTCTAACTAAAACTATGTAAAAATGTTATAGTTTTCTATTAATGGAGGAAAGTTTGTTTTTAAATTTAACAGAACTATATGCAAAATCTGGTATTTATTTTTTAACCTTTTAAAAGTAAATATCTGGAAAAAGATAACTGAACTAAATGATGTTTTACTTAAATATAAAAACTAGCTTTTTTAGTTAAGTGACAATGATAAGGGATGTTTTAGAATTTTATATTTAAAATAAATTTAAATCAAACTTTAATAAAATTCTTCACACATTTAAAAAAAAAAAATAGTTTGTTTCACCAATATCTGGCTCTGTCTCCCCAAGTCCCCCCCCCCACCGAACATATTTTTGGGGGTTACTAATTCAATGTTAACAAGGAGATGGAATAACTAAACATTTTAAAAAATTCATATCTGTATTTACAAACCTCAAGCACAGTCTGTGTAAGAAGCTGCAAAATATCCATGACTAATGCAAAAATAAGGTTGTATCCTATATTCTGCTTTTCTTTCAATGTCCCCGTTATGCTTGAAATGTCAAAGTTGAAGTGATGTTCATAGCAACAAATGTTTTAAACAGAATGTGAAGATTATTGTTTCAAAGTTCATTTCCATTTTGGGGGCGGGGGGAAGAAAGGTGCAAATACCCTTGTTGTTTCTTTATCAGAGATCATTGATAAAATAATTGATAAAAAAAATGAAAGACAGGCGTTTAAAGTTACATTTTTTTTTTTTTTTTTTGTCAAAAATAAAAGTTGAATTCTCTAAGTCTCTCAAGGTGCGTATTGTTTTTTTTTAACTGTAGTAGTTCTTTTTCGTGTGCAGATGCAAGACTAGCAAGAAGAAGAGGAGGATGTCTCATCCTCTTCTTCGGCATATTGATGTGTCTATTAGATTCAACAAAGAACGTCCACCTTGCCTCGTGTGCTCATTTTACTTTAATCTTTCAGAGATCAATTTTTTTATTTTAAAATATTTATTAACTACATTTTTTTTATCTCCTTTTTTAGTATTTTCATTTTTATTCCTTTAGTTTGAAGTTTCTTTGTGTAGTAAACGTTCATTGGTTTTCTTTTCAAAACTTCTGTTTCAGTTTACTTTAATTGAAGTGGTGTAGAATGTTGTCATTATTTTCTCTTCGAGTTAACAAAACAATAGACGTGTTACCTTTATGTATGTGTGTGCGTGTTGTTCGGATATTTCACATCAAAAATCTATCGTGTGAGTCGAGAGACTGAGTGGGGAAGGAGAACTTAACCATTCGTGTTACAATTGAAAAACCTACTTCTTGACCTGACACAAGAGGGGTGTAAATTATGTGCTCAAACCCCAGTGTGGGGCTAAAATGAACAGTTGATTTAACTCACTCCTTCCGTTAACGTTTGCCACAAACCTTTTCTCTTTCTCTTTTCTTCATCGTCATTGCAACGACCCAACTGTGGCGGACTTCACCACATTAATTTAACTTTAGATTAGGAAACAATGCTGACGCAGAAAAGGATAAGCCAAAGACATTGTTACACATAAAATATGTATTTAACAAGATGTACAATATCAAACAACGATGTGAAAGAAAGCATGCATTTAAGTAAAAAAAAAAAGATTAAAATAAACAAGAGTTGTCTCTCTTTATCTGTTATTTGAGTATTTCAAAGTTCACTGGAATAATGTTTATGTGAGTCTTTCATAATGACTGTTCTTAAAAGATTTGCCGTGTTAGAAAAGATTATGTGAGTATATACAAGGTATGTTCAGCATGTGAGTGGTGTGTGTGAGTGAGAAGGTTGGCGCATGGTTTCAACTGTCGTGAATTCGTTTGGCAGCTGAATTCTCACTAATCAGCTAAGAAAAATTCTTGCTTAAATAAGTGACTATAGGCTCCAGATCGCTGCGCGGGAAGAATTATTCTTCACGTGCAGACGATCTGATTGGTTGGCGTAGACCAATCAGCGAGCGAGCTTTGGAGAGACTTAAGAAAGCTTCTGTGATCCATTTCTCCCAAAAGTGCACAAAACTGTCTACATGAAAATAGAGCGATTACAAAATTGTCGCATTGCTGCGATTTGTAAATTGTCTATAATAATGTAGTGGTGATTAATTAACCAATGAATGCTTGACGTTGTATGTGATTTGTATTTGTATATGTATGTTCGTGCGTGATAGACTCTCACACAACACTTTCAACGTTAATGCACGTGACTGTTTTGGAATGAACACCCATTCAAAGTGGTTTGAAGGTTGGCATTTGCTGCCAATCAAAGGTCACATGACATATCGGAATCCCGCCAATAAGTATCCACATGCGAGAGACGATCTGCGGGCATTGAGTCGGGAAGACGCATTTTCCGTCTCTCCCTCTTCACCATACAGCTCAAGCACCTAGACTTCGGTAATAGACCTTTTATAATCAACTTCTTTGCCCGAAGCTACCTTTCATTATCCTTGACTCGATCGTAGACCAACTTTCCGACTTTCTTACTCTTCCAGAATCATCCACCTGTCAACTATAAGCGACAGCGAAAGTCAAAGTTCTACGTATTTATAATTACATCCATTCTCTACCGTTGATAACCTTGTCGAGAACCATTGATATCCTAAAGGAGTAATCAACTATGCTTCGTTGTGGGAATCTGGTCGTATGACACAAGACCATACAAAAAAGAAACCACACTAGGCGACCAGGCTTCCACTACAACCCACGCCAAGAAGGATGATAATGACGAGGAAATACATAATATTAACAAAACAAGAAAGGAATTTATTTACAAATTCACACGTTTGAAGTTGTCAAGAAAATAAATTGAAATTTCTTAAAGTCAGTAGTTTTAACGAATTGTGATGAAGAGGAAATGTTCATGCAATAGAAATTATCTGACACAAAGTAAATAATATTAAAAATGTTTAAAACAAAAGTAAGAAAGTTCGCTGCTCTCAAAAGGGAAATATGGCTTGCATACATTTAAAAGTAGACGAAGAGAGATACTTCGAAATACTTACCTTTCTTGGATTGTTGAAAGAAAGTTCTTTGAAGTCTGCGTGCTTGGTTAAAAGCCGATAATATAATTGACGAGTAATTTGACACTGGCGAAAACTTCAATGCTGGATGCTATGAACAGAAATGAAACCTTTCACATGACTTCAGAAACTCTTCTCTTATTGATTTAATTTATTTATTTTTGCATAAGCTCGCTACTTTCTTTTCTCTCTTTCTTCGTGGCTCAACGGCTAATTTCTGTGGAGGCAAGGTTTTCACAGGCCCCCACAATTTCACATAGGCTCCCGAATTTATTTTTGTCTTTCTCTCAGCTCGCCGGTGAAGGCCATGTTTTCATTGATCCAAAGAAAATTTGAAGGGAGTGGTTAAAGGGAGTTATTATTATTTCGTACTCACTACAAGAACATCCTCCCAGGTTATATCACTTCTGCGTGTGGGGGAGGGGGCCTAGGATCTTTACCTTGTGCCTGAGGCGTCCCCAAAAGTGAAAGTGCTGAAGGGTCTTGAACAATTCTTATTCACAGCCCACGAACGTGTAAGCTACCAATCCACTTTAAACTCGACCTTGTGTCACATTCTGCTCAAGGGGAGAGCGTGGATAACTTCTCGACCCCAGTCTTTAAGACAAGACACCATGATAGATTTTTATTCTATACATTTTGACAATAATATTAGTATTAATCAACTAATATTGGCAACATTTTCACGATAATAAATATAATGTTCGGGTCCGCCAGGGCCTTAGCCTTGTACCCACATTGTTTCTTATTTTCAACAATGATCTTTCCGATGTCATCAGTTTACAACTAGGTATTTATGCTAATGAAAACTATTTACTCGTTAGTAGTAAGTACTATAGGTTCGACAAAGTAAAACTGACAACTGCGCTCGAAAATGACCTCTAATCAGTGGTTAACTGGGCCAAGGAATCGCTTGTAAATTTCAACGCCTCCAAAACAAAAGCATTACCATTAAAATCACTATAAGAGTACCTTTTCTGATGCTAACTCTCCAGGAGAGCAACTCTTTGGAACTTCTTGGGCTTATGCTTTCCAATGAGATGAATTGGAGTGATTATATTGAATCAAATGTTAGCTCTGTTACTAGGAAAGTCGGTTCACTGTGTTATGCCAAATAATTTTTCCCGTCAAAATCTATCTTGCACATTTATAAATCTACCATTCGTCCGTGTATTGAATATTCCTGCTATATTTGGTCTGGTGCTCTTACTTTATTTCTTTTTAATAATGTTTACCCATTGCAAGGCCCGAGAGCTACTCCAGGCAGAGGGTTACTGTGTGGTGTTTTATTAGCGTATGAAATTGACAAGAAGTGAAGTTCTTTGGGCTATGCAGAATAGATAACAGCTAACTCTAGACGTGAAGAGGTCAAGATTTAATTAGTGAATAATATTTCAGAATTCAGTCGGAGACGTTCGAAGTATAGTAAGGAAGTAGACTTTAGAAGGAACCAGAAACCCAATCCTAAACAAGAAACAAGGGATAAACCTCTACTCCTATTCAAAAGACAGGGGAGGAGTGTGAGCCGGACGAAAGATGAGCCTATCTACTCCTGTTGCTAGAGAAGAATATATATATATATATATATATATATATATATATATATATATATCGAGATTTTCAACAAAATCCAAAGAAGTGTCTGTAATGTAATCGGTCCTGACCAGGCACCTCGACTTCAGTCACTTTCCTGCTATCATGGAGTTGCTACCCTATGTCCTGTCTATAAATATTTTCATGGTAATTGTTCTAATGAGCTTTCATCCTTGGTATCTCGACTGCATAATTGGCAACTAGGTTTCACCATTTTACTATTGGACTAACTACATGAAACCGTAATAGTTTGTAATAGTTTCTTTACTAGCACTCCTCATCTACGGAACTCTCTTCCAGTTTCTTGCTTACCTGCCAACGACAATCTTCAAAAAATCAAATACAAAATCGTCATCTTCTATGTTCCTGAATCCAGTTCTTTTATTGTCTTTGCTCCTCACTAAAGTCTTCTCGTTTTCTTTCACTCCCGCTAACTCATTGCGTCTTAGGGAAGTTATCGCTTTGATTGGTGTGAAATAGTTTAAAAATGCTTCATGAATTTCAGCTTATACTATGTTTTTATTAGCAACATTTACAATCAATCATTTAGTGCTGTAAGATAATATGCAGCACACATGTTTGTTCATCATATTGCAAATAAATATTGGGAATTGCAAAAAAAGCTAGAGATTACAGTCAGAAAATTGAAAACATCGACAAGATAAGAACAAGGAAAAAGACTGATTTTTAAAATGTCACAAAAAGAGATTTGATAAAAAATTAAAAGAGGCAATAAGTGGATTGATCAGCAAGAAAATAGGTGTTGTGAATATAAAACAGAACGAAAAAAAATTCAGATTGTAAGAATATTAGTTAAAGACATAAATGTAAGTATACTACCAACTTAAAGTAAACATCA